ACTCCTCGGAAGGAAGGTTGGGCAATCCTACTTCCGTAGTGATACTGCCTCGGAAACCCAAGGAGGGGTCGCTATGAGTCAGGGCTGACTCGAAGGCACATAACAACAACAACAACAACAAGGAGAGACAAGGTATGACCTTTTGAATTTAGAGTCAGTCACAAACACTATTTTGCTGTATACATTTGAAAAACCTTATCAAAACAAAAACAAAACAAAAAAAATAAACATACTACCATTAAGTCCAATCCGACTCACAGTGACCATAAAGGACAGAATAGAACAGCCCCAGAGGGTTTCCAAAGCTGTAAATCTTTATGAAGGTAGACTGCCTCATCTTTCTCCTGAAGAGCCACTAGAGAGTTCAAACTGTGGACCTTGTGATTGCCCACCAGATGGGTTAACCAGTACACCCCTAGAGAAATGGGCAGAGTAGGGAAATTGACAGAGCAGAGAAAAGATAAACATTTTTTATTAGGTATTTTAAACACAGTGGGGAGTAACAATAATGTTTAAATCAAAAGAAACCAAACTCACTGTCATCGAGTTGATTCTGACTCATAGTGACCCCCATGGGGTATCTGAGGGTACAAATCTTTATAGAAGCAGACTATCTCATCTTTCTTCCATGGAGCAACTCATGGGATTGAATTACCAACCTTTTGGTTAGAAGCTAAGTGTCTTGCCCACTGTGCCACTAGGGCTCCTTAACAATGATGTTACTTACCAATAATGCTAACCATTAGTGGTTAAGAGAAGATGCTTAAGAGTCAGGAGGGTTTCAGTCTCCCAGCTCAACATGTGGCACTCTGCAAATTGAGACTTTGTGCAAGCTTTTAAACTTGTCTAAATCTCAGTTATCTCATCTGTGAAATAAGATTAATAATAGTGCTACCTACTAGTGTTATTGTGAGGATTACATAAATTAATATGCTAAGTGTTTCCACCAAAAAAACAAAAACAAAACACCCATTGCTATCTAGTTAGTTCCAACTCAAAGTGATCCAAAAGGACAGAGTAGAACAGTGTCCTAGGGTTTCCAAGGCTGTAAATCTTGATGAAAGGAGACTGCCTCATCTTTCTCCTGTAGAGCAGTTAGTGGGCTCTAACCGTTGACCTTTTGGTTAGAAGCCCAATGCTTTAACCACAGTGCCATCTAGGCTTAATGTATATTAAGCAATTAAAATGCAATGAAGATGATGATGATGATGATGATTATATCTATTGGTTCTGTTCTTTGAAATGTCATCCAATTATTTTTTTCACAGTTCTATGATGATTTTAGGAGCTCTGGTGGTATAGCGTCTAAGGCATTTGACTGCAAACCAGAAGGCTGGCAGTTTAAACCCACCAGCCACTCCTCAGAAGGAAGGTTGGGCAATCTACTTCCATAGTGGTACCGCCTCAGAAACCCAAGGATGGGTTGCTATGAGTTAGAGCCGACTGGATGGCAAAGAGTTTGGTTTGGTTTTTGGTATGACAATTTTATGCTTTGCTACATTCTACAGGGAGAAAAGACATTATTTTCTACCCGGCAGCTTTAAGAAATATAATACTTGCAGTTAGGAAGGCATGTATTCTTAGAGGAATGCGTGTAGTCTAAAAAGCAAGCTAATGCTTGGTGATTTCAAAAGGCTACAGTTTCTTCCTTGCAATAACATTTTTCTGTTCTGCCTCCTTTCCATAAAATTATAAATGACAAACTTCCCAGGAGCAGGCAGTGATTTATACGGCATTTTTTCTTTGGTTTTCAGGTGCCATACCGTGTGCTGCCGACATGTTCCGTTGCCAGGGCTCCCATGCCTGTGTGCCTCAACACTGGCTTTGTGATGGTGAAAGGGACTGCCCAGATGGAAGTGATGAGCTCTCCACAGCAGGCTGCGGTATGAACTCTTTGACATCTATGTCACAGAAAATTGCGGTATCCTCAGGTGTTTTGTTTGGTAGCACTTCAATGTATCACCTTTTCCCTCACTTTCCCAATCCCTGAACGCATAGGTAGTGTCAGACTTAATCAGTCCTAGCATTGCTATCACAGTAGTTCAGCAACCTCTCTAACTGCTATTTAGCATGTTTCAAACATGTGAACTGGGATTACCCATTTTAAAACCCTTTTGATGAACAACGATTTATCCTGTCATTTCTGAGATAATATTGCAAAGCATGTGTGTATGTTTGTGAGCATGGTAGGTTTATTTTCCATTTAACAACTTTTTCTCCCCATGAAGTCTTTTAGGTTGCCTATTATAGATGCTCTGTAAATGGCTGTTCTCATCCTAAACAACTACTGCTCATAAGGTCAATAAATACCTATTAGTCCTATGGATAGGGTATTAACCCTTGGATCAGGTAAAAATAGTATGGATACAGCTGAACGAAGCTGGGGGATCAGAGGAAGACCTTTGCAGTTCAGACAGTTTACTAACTTTCTGACTTTAAATCACCTCTGGAATTTTCAACAACAACAACAACTCAATAGTAAAATTTGGATAAATTCCTTTGTACAATCCAGGAGGATGAAGGGACTAAATACTTGAATGCAGATCCCAAGGTCACAGAGGGAATCCTTTGGAGCTGAGCAATATATCAGAAACAATACTGTGAACTTTACACTTTAGAGAGAGTTCTGAAAATTTCTCTCCAATGGTCTCTCTTTATGTCTTTGAAACACTGTGCTTTCATCAAGGATGGTTAAAGCAGAAAATAACAAAGGAAATTTTAAGGCAGGCATGTTTGCACAGAACTCATGCTATTGTTGCAGAATAATTCACTTTGATCTTGAAACTGATGTGTATGTCTCTAAAGGTCAATGTGGCCACTGAGGGTTACATAATGAAGGACTATGCATCAATTCAGGGATCCAGATGGTCCCAGTATGCTGTTGCTATTGTAACAAGTTAACACTCCGGGAGGCATATTAACATTTTTGGACCACATGGGTACTATTAAGTAAATTATGCTAACATACAAAAAATTGTACTCA